CTCTTTCTGACTGTGAGCATTTCGACAATTTGGCATCCAGTGTTAAATGTTGCAGGCATTCTTTCACCGAACTTCCATTTCCCAATCTCAAGATGTCGTCTGCATTCACATACTGAAATAGCACTGAACATCTTAAGGATTCAATCCAAAACTCGGGCAATTAAATGAAAATTCGTGAAATTCGCAAGAAATTAAAATCCCTTTGCGAAACTACTGCCATGCACTCTGGGGGGGTTACATCATTATTTTTATCAATACAATATTCTTTGTTTCTCGGCATTATACACTGCGTTTTGCAAACTAATCGCTCATTACTGAAGCTTTTTACGGTCTGTTTCAAACTGATATTTTGTGGGTCACATATAGATGCGCATCAACGAGTGCAGTGGCAATGAACGCAGCGCCCAGAGTATAAAAGCGATCAACAAAACTTACTGCATTTCCGCCCCATCGTAATTTTAGGGAATCTCTTTTGCATCCCCAAAAATGAAAATTTTTTAAACGAGCAGTACGCCGTCTTTTTCAAAAAATTAAAAGTCCACTGTCTTTTTTTTTTCATTTTGTTTCCGCCACAGTTAATCTTTTTGGGAGCTAAGTGACAACCTTAACAAGTTTAACAAGAAGGTTGTCGATAGCAGAATGTGTGTGCGAAGTTACAAGCACTGTGCGACCCAGCAGTAATGAACAACGCACCAAAGCCACTAGCGCACTGGTTTTACCTGCAAATAAACAATTCAGCGAGGTGGGGAAATTTTTGATAAATCGCTGCAAAAATTTTAGCTTTCATGCAATTTTCTTACATTGTCTTTGATCCAATGAGCACAGTCTCTTACCTGATCCAGGGAAACCCTCGATAACAGCAAAATCCTTAGCCATAAGACATTTAACAACGGCTCGCGCTTGATCACCATTCAACTGTTTTACGACTTCGGAAATAATAGAAATATCTTCTTTTCGCATTTTGGAGAAGCTGGGTGCTCTCATATCAATCAGCAACGATCGCATTTTTGCCCTGTTGCATTTTCATATCCATCAAGAACATAAGAAGCTAGGCAAACGCAGAACGTGACCTTCCAAAAAAGTAGAAGAATTGGCCAACGCACAGGCTGCCCGTGCGGAGATGCGTTTTTTACATGGTTCCCCGCAGTTTTTGTTGCTACCGGCACCGGTTTTTTCGCCAAATGCTTCTAGCTAAACA